TATGATTATCCCTTCACCATGCTAAATATCTTACATCTTAAATGGACTTGTTTGTCTTACAATTTGGACAAGACCATTGATCATTTTTAGGGAAAATTATAGAATATGACTGTACTATCTGAATAACAAACAGTGCTAACCATAATTAGAGGTCTTTGTTGGCATGGTCACATGGGCAGATTTAGTCACCGACTGCAGGCTAAAGGTTTAAAATTATTTAAAGGCCTATTATGCCCCAGAAACAGATACATTTTTACTTTTTTCAAACTTTTTTGGCAAGCATGAATTTTATAAAGGTTACATATTGTTCTTAGTGCATGTTAGATGCTTGTAACCTGAAAAAGGTAGCGTTTAAATTGAAAAAAAATTGTCATAAATGTAACAAATTGTTAAACAAAGTAGTAGTTTGACTTCCATACAAAATACATAATCACTTTGATTGTATTAGATCTAATGACCAAAAAAAGAAGGTTACTGGCTAATGAGTAACTTTTTATATCCTGTAAAAGTACACCAAATAAAAAGGTTTTTGAGAAATAAAAAGTAAAGTATTTCTGGGGCATAATGGGCCGGAATTTTACAGAATGTCAGTTTAAATGATGAGGAGAAGCACTGTGCTTCCTGGTTGTTACCACATGATTTACTGTATTGTTTTCAGTTAAATTTACATACCAAATGAATTAGATCATAAGATATCTGAACTGTCAGAGAGTTTGATGTGTTTTCGTTTTAGTCACATAGCTTTGTAATTAAATTGTTGGTTTTAGCTAAAAATGTCCGGAAAGACAGTGTATTTTTGAGTACAAATTGTTTACTTCCAAAATGTAGAATATTAGGTTACCATGTTGTGTGTCATTGCGGATAATAGCAATTTATGAGCTTTTTCTCATATTTCCTGTATTTGCAAAACCAGAATGTCATTGACTCTATGAATAATATCTATCGAAGAAAAGTATAGTATATTATGGTAAACAATATACGGTACCAGTACATAGACATTCCTGTCTTTATTATCTCTTTTTATTACTTTCTTAAAGGCCCATAATGCGTAAGAATTGCTATTATCCTTATTTCTTAAAAGCTTTTTGTTGTCCTGATAATTTCCAAAGAGTTACTCTTACTTGAATCATCTTTTGCTTCTGTTGCCTTAGTGTATATTAAGGCTTTTGGCAATTAGTCAAATTAATGTGATTTAGAATTTTGTATGGAAGTCAAAATACTACTTTGTTTACATTTTGCTACTTTTTGTGACAAATAATTTCACATTCAGTGCTACTTTCTGAAAATGATAAGCATCCAACATGCTCTAAAATCATTATTGAAATGTTGTATAACTCATAACAGCCTTAAATAAAGAAGGAAAAATTTAACTGTTTTGAGGCATAATTAGGTCTATGCCTTTAATATTGAGGTTTATTGGACTTAAAATATTTTTTGGAGATTTTTATGCAATTTGATGTTGGTTATATCAATGCAAAATTTCAAATCAATTGCTCAATCCTATTTTCCAAATTAATAACTTTTTAATGTGTAAAATGACCTAAAAAGGACCTCCGGTACTTTAAGTTGATTTTCAAAAAAACTTAATAGCTAATTTTTTGCAATTGGTGAAAATGCAAACAATGCATGAAATTTGCTGTTTGTTTAGTGAACTAAAAAATTTGTTTCTGATTATAATTATATACGACCAATTTGGTGCAGTCAGTATTGAACTGTTCTCTCAAATTCATACCTTGGTCATGACTGTGTTTATTTAACTACGCAATTTCTAGCCAGGTAGGAAGGTCTGTTAAAATACCTGTTAGCAGATCTTAATCACATTTTCTCAATTATCTCTCTTCAAGAGCACCGCCAGATATTCGGAACAATTTCAAAAACATGCCGCCAGTAAATAAAGCCATTACCTCCGGAATTATTTCATAAACAAAAACAATGTAATGTGTACTCTTCAAACTAAGTCAAAGATCGGGTGTATGGGTGTATAAACTTCTTATAAATAGGAAAATTGCCTACAACTTGATAAGATCTTGGCATCAGCACCCGATTTTCCCTGATTATATTTTGTAACATAACTATTCTTGATGGAGATCTGGTGATAACAGTGTCTCATTCAGCCATAAAGGAGGTCTTAAAATTTAATTTTCTGGGATAATATCTTGGTGTTTTTATTGTTTTCTTGTGGGGGGGTTGATTTTTATGTTGTTGTTGTTGTTGTCAGTGTTTGTTATGTTTTTTTGCTTTGCTGCATTCATTTTAAATACGAATACGAATGTTCAAACTTAAGGTTTGGAGAGCAATATTTTGGAGTTATTATAAATTTCAGTTTGCTATTAAGTTGATGTAAGTGATGTTTGTGTTCATTATTTTGTGGAGTTTGGTAATTATTAAGACTTTATAATTTGTAATGAAAGGATTTGAATTTAGTAGTGCAAAATTTGGAGCAGTTATTCTTTGTTTTTGTTTTTTTTTTTAAAAAGAAAGGTTTTATTGAATATTCGGTTAAAAACTAGGCAGTAGATAAAATAAAGTTATTGAGCTAGATTTGTATTGTATTTTAATAGGTGCCTTTGAAAATTAAACAATGTAAAAAAGGGTTATGGAATTAAATACATGTATGTTGCGTTATGGAATAACTATGTTTCAAATTACATGTGTATCAAATCTCTATAATATTCTTGGTGAAAATGTTATTTTGTATATCTGTTTAAGGGATTGTACTATGGTAAGGGATTAAACAGGATGTTAGATGAGTTGCTATATTATATTAACTTACGGTTAACAAGTTGAGGAAGTTATCTCCCCTTACCATGCTAAATATCTTATTAAATGGACTTTCCATCTTTCAATCTGGACAAAACCATTCATCATTTTTAGGGAAAATTTCAAAATATGTGTTGAACTGAATAGTAAAGAGTGCAGACCATGATCAGATGGCACAAACATATCAGCAGATCTGGGTCTGCACTGGTCTCTTAGCAACAAGCAGACCAATGTTTGATAAGGGGAGTCTGTTGCTAGCTTAATAACATTGATGGGTCAAGTTTCAGTTAACAAGTCTAAAAAATTTAAATAGCAAAATTTAATAGGGATTCTTATTAAATCATGTAAATGTTTTATTTGCAATTCTATTAACTTCTATTTGTAATTATACACTCGAATGTGTTATTTGTTATTCTATAAAATTCTGTTTGTTAGCTCACCTGTCACAAAGTGACAGGGTGAGCTTTTGTGATCGCTTTTCGTCCGGCGTCCGTCCGTCCGTCCGTCCGTAAACTTTTACTTTAAATGACATCTCCTCATAAACCACTAAGCCAATTTCATCCAAACTTCACAGGAATGTTCCTTTGGTGGTCACCTTTAAAAATTGTTCAAAGAATTTAATTCCATGCAGAACTCTGGTTGCCATGGCAACCGAAAGAAAAAACTTTAAATATCTTCTTTTAAAAAACCATAAGAGCTAGAGCTTAGATATTTGGCATGAAACATCTTCTAGTGAGTGTCTACCAAGTTTGTTCAAATAAAAGCCCTGGGGTCAAAATTGGCCCCGCCCCGGGGGGTCATTGATTTTCCCTATATACATATAGTAAAAACTTAAAGAATCTTGTTTTAAAGAACCAAAAGAGCTAGAGCTGAGATATTTAGCATGAAACATGTTCTAATGGGTGTCTACCAAGTTTGTTCAAATAAAAGCCCTGGGGTCAAAAATGGCCCCGCCCCGGGGGGTCATTGATTTTCCCTATATGCATATAGTAAAAACTTAAAAAATCTACTTTTAAAGAACTCAAAGAGCTATGGCTAAGATATTTAGCATCAAACATGTTCTAATAAGTGTCTACCAAGTTTGTTCAAATAAAAGCCCTTGGGTCAAAATTGGCCCCGCCCCGGGGGGTCATTGATTTTCCCTATATACATATAGTAAAAACTTAAAAAATCTTCTTTTAAAAAACCATAAGAGCTAGAGCTTAGATATTTGGCATGAAACATCTTCTAGTGAGTGTCTACCAAGTTTGTTCAAATAAAAGCCCTGGGGTCAAAATTGGCCCCGCCCGGGGGGTCATTGATTTTCCCAGTATGCATATAGTAAAAACTTAAAAATCTTCTTTTAAAGAACCAAAAGAGCTAGAGCTAAGATTTTTAGCATGAAACATGTTTTAATAAGTGTCTACCAAGTTTGTTCAAATAAAAACCCTGGGGTCAAAATTGGCCCCGCCCCGGGGGATCATTGATTTTCCCTATATGCATATATTAAAAACTTAAAAAATCTTCTTTTAAAGAACTCAAAGAGCTATGGCTAAGATATTCAGCATCAAACATGTTCTAATAGGTGTCTACCAAGTTTGTTCAAATAAAAGCCCTGGGGTCAAAATTGGCACCGCCCTGGGGGTCATTGATTTTCCTTATATGTGTATAGCAAAAACTTAAAAAATCTTCTTTGAAAAAACCCAAATAGCTAGAGTTAAGATATTAAGCATGAAACATCTTTTAGTGAGTCACAGTCTGCAAAGTTTGTTCAAATAAAAGACCTGGGGTCAAAATTGGCCCCGCCCCAGGGGTCATTGATTTTCTTTATATGTGCATAGCAAAAACTTAAAAATCTTCTTTGAAAAAACCCAAATAGCTAGAGTTTAGATATTAAGCATGAAACATCTTCTAGTAAGTGTCTACAAAGTTTGTTCAAATAAAAGCCCTGGGGTCAAAACTGGCCCGGCCCCAGGGGTGTCATTGTTTTTAACTATATGTGTATAGTAAAAACTTTAAAAAAATCTTCTTTCAAAAAGCCAAATGAGCTAGAGCTTAGATGTTTAGCATGAAACATCTTCTTATGGGTGTCTACTGAGTTTGTGCAAATAAAAGCCCTTGGGTTAAATTGGCCCTGCAACGTTGGGGGGCCTATATACAGGTGAGCGACCTCAGGGCCATCATGGCCCTCTTGTTTTAATATGGGATTTCTAATTTTAAAACATGTAAAATTTACAATATAAATTCTTTCTATCTTTCAGAACATATATTGAAAGCATTAAGTAGTCTGCAATCAACGGAAGAAAAGTTAGCAGCCCTATGTAAAAAATACGCTGATTTACACGAAGAACATCGTGTTTTGCAGTCATCTTATAAACAGAATCAGAGAAAACTTACTGTTGTAAGTATATTTTATTGTGAAGTTTTTGTCGTCCAGCTAACAACAGATTTTCTTTGTAAGTGTGTCTAAGAATTTGTATGGCTTTTAAAGTAAGGCTTATTAAAATGGTGATTTCTAGTTACTTAAAAGATTTACTTAGCTTTCAATGAAACATGACTATTAGGAAGTCTGTTAAATCAGTTTCAATTTGCTGTCAATTCTTGTCTTAAGGTAATGAAATCTCAAGGTTTTCAGACCATTGCTTTGCAAGGTTGTGTCTCTTATGGGTGACATAGAACCAAATGCAAGAAAAACCTTTAATAAAGACCACCCTAGGAATAGTCCACACATAGAAAAATCTGTCAGTTATGGCCACTATACCTGTTGTTGAATGACTTAAATGCATAAACTGTATTTTACAGACCACTTGTCATCAAAGACCTTATAGTAAATGGCATACTTGAGCAGGTTGATACATTCTTAGTTTTTTGAGACAACAATTTTATACTTGTGAATAAGTTTTTTAAGAATAAATATCTTACATTTGTGCAAAACTACTCAGTTTAGTTCTATACATAGAAAGAAATCAGTGAGTTGTGACCACTATTTGATACCTGTAGTTGAATGACTGAAATATATAAATGAACTGTATTTACTAGGAATGGCAACGAATACCAAAATGAATACTTGAGTACTCGGTCGTTTTTCCAATCGAGTACTTGGTTACTCGGATGATTGCCAGTGATCTTCAAAGTTTAACACACAATATCAACACCGTCCGCATGCTACTGTCGTTTTCTATTTAAATTCATAGAATTCTGTAGATAGTAAATAGAACTGCACGGGAGACTAATTATTTATAATTAAATCAACAACATAATATTTTACAACGTTTTAATTAAATGCAAAATCAAGTTTAAAATATGTATAACAGTTCAGATATCTTTTTTCTTCTTGAAATAATATAGACTGATTGGCGGCAACAAAAGTTTAACCTGGTCTAAATACTAGTTACCTTTATTCTTACATTCACGATAGTAATCGGCCCTTTGTTGTTTTTCAAAACAGTTACTTCGGCTATACAATTAAAGGTAATTAAATATCATAAGAGGCTGGATGATATAAGTGACGCAGGTGCGCGTGTCAAACTGTTGATTGCCTCGTTAAATTTATGATATCATTTTCGCACCTCTGCAAGGATGTTTTGATTGCATTTAACGGGTATTTATGAAGATAAATGCACATCTCCGAATTTCTGAACTAATTGGATCTCACCAATCTTTCTAAATCGCAAAAAAATAGAAAATATATATTTTTTCCGAGTAATCGAATATCAATTTTGTTAACCAATATTCGGTTAACCGGTTACTCGTTGCCATCCCTAGTATTTACAGTCCACTTGTCATAAAGAGACCATAATCATAGTAAATTGCATACTTGAGAAGGTTTAATTTTGGAGACAATAGTTTTAGACTTGTGAAGAAGTTTCTTAAAAGTAAATATCTTGTATTTGCTGCAAAGCTGCTTAGTTTCTATTTTGTTTTCAGACTACACGAGAAAAAGACCAGTTGCAAGCAGAGCATACGAAGGCAGTGATGGCCAAAAGTAAATTAGAAAGTTTATGTAGAGAATTACAGAAACATAATCAAACAATTAGGGTAAGTAAACAATGATTTCCTCTCGTTAAATTTGGTTCTTTGGTATCTTCAGCATTGTGATTAGGTGTTATGACATGCCGATGTGATAGTGCTAAAATCTTAAATGGACTTGTCCATTTTTCAATCTGGACAAAGCTATTTATCATTTTAAGGGAAAATTTCAAAATATGTAGTGACTGAATGGCAAACAGTTTAGACCATGATCAGACAGAATAGATGTGAAGATCAGTCTTTATTTGAACATAACCCAATTGGTGTGACTAAAACAACCAAAGAAATGGAAATAAGATTATTTAATTAACTATTTCACCATGTATAAATTAACCCTTCACATTTTGAATTTGTTTAATGGGTTTGTCCTACTTTGAATTTGGAACAGTCCATTTGAAAAATTCAGGGATTTGAACATATAGATACAAAAATTGAGCAAACAACAGTATAGAGCCTAGTCAGACTGCAGGGGTATGAAGGCTGGCTTGGGTCTATACTGGTGGCAAAGACTTATCATTTCCGGTTTGGTTTAAACATATTTATTTAAGCTCCATTGCGAAACAAGTTCTTGCAACTTATATTTATCACTTGCGAGTCCGCTGCCTGGAACCAACCAGTACTGGTGTCATATGTCGTATGAAGAAACATGGTCATGACCAAATTAGGGCTCAAGACCATGATCCCTGTGTTGAGAGGCAAGAGTCACCTTAACCACTAGGCCACCGCTTTCCTTTCGGTTCAAGCAGGATGAGGGTTAAAATTGTAGATGAAGCTTAGGATAAATTGCTTTTGATGTCATTACATATGTCTTTAAACATGATTTGACATTTAGGATGAGCTTCTTATAATACCTCAGTTATGATTTATATTTTTCAGATTCTCATTACTTAGATAAACCTTGAAAATAAAATTTATAGATATTTTCCTTTTGTCCATCCATCATGCTGTTGTTCCTAAACTGACAAAACAAGAGGATGTGGGGGCGTACTATCGAGACATTTCAAGTTTTAAATATTTAATTTCATTTATATTTTAACAGCAAGAAAGTTTACAACGAGCTAAAGAAGAAGACGAGAAGAGAAAAGAGATATCACAGAAATTCCAGGTATATATTGATGTTTCACCAATATATCAGCTTGTTATAATTTATTCTATAGCAATAATGAGGCTTAGAGAGATGTCTCTGAATTTTTGCCATTATATATTTAAAGCTCATTCATGGATGCATATTGAGAAAAACTCCCTTTGCAGTGTTTCTTCCAGAGCGCGTTTTTGATGCATTTTTTATGGCCTTGACGCAATGAGACTCAATTTGTGCGTTTCCAGTGACGCAGTAATTTATTCTCCATTAATTTAAGTAAATCTCAAATTATGACAATTTCAAATCCATGGCAAACTATTTAACAAATTTAAATACAAATCATGCACTGCTTTGATTTTACGACTTAATACCTTTCAATTTAATTGTCCGTTAATCAGACAAAAAATTCCCTTTCATGCATCCAAGAGGACAATATAATTATATCCAATTAAAGCTGCATGTATTACAGTAGCTAACTGGGGGTAATTAAAATCATTAAAGAATTTTTTTGTTCTGTTTAAATAGAGATTCTTCAAATTATTTTTATGCAACATTTTCTTTTCTATTCATCTATTATTTTTCAATGGCTGAATGAATTATAAGAAAGAGGCTAATAAATTAGTGGTTCCAGTTCTTTATATGTACTTCTTGGTTAATAAATGGTTTGGCATGACCCTCAAAATTTCAAGTGACCCTTAAAATCTGATAAAGGGGGTCAAAAATGACCCCCAGAAAATTGGAGCTGGAAGAAACACTGCCTTTATTTTGAGCTATCAGTAAATGATAGCTTGATGCATTACAACTAAAGCTTATGTGGTATACTAACTGATAGCTGTCAGCCCGGGTTTTCCTGTACAAGTTAATTATATACATAACATAACTGCATTGTGCAAATTGCAGTCTAGATAGAGAAGAAAGTTTATATGTGGTTTGTCCATCATTCATGGAGGAAATACTGTACAAAGCATTTGCTTACCAGTTTGTCCAATAAATTGAATGTTTTAAAGCAGCTTGTCTCCAGATCCATGCTTATTTTCATGAAAGTTTTGAAAAAAATGTATAAAAAGGTAAAATATTGTTAAGTGAACAAAGAAAGTAATTGACACATTGCAAACAGAACTTTCAGTTCATATAAATCACCAAATTAAGGTCAAAACATACAAAAATAGCCCTTACTGTGTTAGTCACGCAGAAGAAATATGATGATAAACACTGCAAAAACAGTTAGTAATTGCATAAAAAATGTGTAAATCATTACTTGAATAGTGAATAGTTTTACTTTTCGCAAAATCTTGGTACATTTTTGTCAAGAGTTGATATTCTTAAAATATGTTTGGCTCATGCTGATTTAAGAAAATTGAGTCATTCTCATTCATTGCTTTTCAGACAACCATAGGGGAGATCCAAACTCAGATGCAAGAAAATCATGAACGAAATAAACAATTACGTGAAGAAAACTTTGAACTAGCCAATAAACTTAAAAAATTTATAGAACAGTACGAAGCACGAGAAAAGGTAAGTTCACGTTTTTGTTTGAAATGTTTTTGCCTTTCTGTACTCGAGTCCTTTTAAGTAGGGATGGACCAATCGGCATGCTAGGAATGAGATTTACCATTAATAATCTTATTTATCAAAACTGCGTCTGCTTTTGTCAAGGTTATTATATTGATAAATGATTCATGGAATAAAGATAAGAATGACATTTACATCTATTTTGGGATAATTGTCTTCTTGCTAAATAAAGGCATTATTGTGATAGCCCTTAAGCCAATGGAGGCAATTTGATTTTAGCTTGTTGCATGCTTTATTTAGCTGAAAGGAAGATAGATTATATGCAAGAATAAAAATAAAGAATCTGTAAAGCAGATATTTTGATTCAGCTTCCCTTTTCTTTTCTTTTGTGTGTGTATGCGGGTGAGGGGTATGTTATATTTAAGCTAAATTAAGCTTAATTTTAGTACTAGACTTGCATAAGCATAAATTTGGAACTTTCCATTGTAACTTTAAGGGATGTTAAATGTCAAAATGTTAAAACTTATGCAGCTGGTAGTATAGTGTTTGGTCTAAGAGATGTGCAGTCTGACCTATCTATATATTTTGTATATTGTTTGCTGAATTGAATTATTATCCCTGAAGTTGCTGCAAACAGTTTTGAGAATCAAAGCTACTTACTTGCAGATTATAAGCTACAAGTGTCTGATAACCAGTTTAAATCATAATATCTGAGAACCAGTTTAAATTATGATATCTGATAACCAGTTTAAATTATGATATCTGAGAACCAGTTTAAATTATGATATCTGAGAACCAGTTTAAATTATGATATCTGAGAACCAGTTTAAAGTTGAACCTAATTTTAAATGATAAAATGTGATCACAATCTGTTTTTTTACATATATGTTGTTCAAACAAGACCTGACAATGTTACATATAGTAAAAAAAATTTAAAATGTGTGTTAAAAAAAATTAATACAGAATTTAGAATTCTTCTTTGCTTTTAACTGGTAAATTTGACGTGGGTAGAACTTGAAACTGACTTATTTATTGTAGATTTCTAATTATTTTCAAGTGTTTTGTTCAGGAAAGCAGTAACATAGATAACAATATAGTTTTGCAGATCTTAAAATCTGACATTTTCATATTGTATTACAAAAAAAACTAAAATTTATTAGAACTTTTCATTAAAATGTTTTGTAAAATGATTTTAAAAATCTTAAATGGGATTTTTAATTTTGTTGGTACTATTTCATGAGATTATTTACAGTATTTTGAACAATTAAATGCAAAAAAAATTTCCAGAGGAAAAAAATGTATTTTATCCAGATATAAGCATTTGTATTGTTTCTTCTAAAGATGTTAAACGCATAAACAATATTTATAGATAAAATAATCATATATTTTATTGAAAAGGAATTTATGAGGTCCACAATTCTATGGAAAATAATGATGGATGGGGATGTTTGAAACAACAAAGTTATTTTCAGTGAAACTGAAGCCAGCAGTTCCTGATTTGTGATTTTTGCGCCATTTGTCTGCAGGAACTATTTGTCATCGTAGTGCAATAACGGATTAACTCCTATTAGATTAAATAGGAGTTAGGGTGTTAATGCATTCAAGTGACGTATTGTTTGAACTGTTCTATTAAAAGCATGTCCTGAAAGAGATCATTTTTGTAGGAGGAACTACTTTCCGGACGGAACTTTTGTAGGAACTATTTTTTTGTATGAGGAACTACTTTTTTGTATGAAGAACTACTTTTGAGACAATAATTTTTGTTATGATTTCAGCAAGTAGAGAAGGTTATACAGCATAGAGAACTAGAACAAAAATTAGCAGATGCCAAATTAGAACAGGCCTCGGCAATACTAATGGAAGAAAAGGGGAGAAGTCAAAAAGAAAAAGAATTGGTAAGAACTTGATGTAAAATGAGAAATAATAGATATTTGCCATTTCAGTTGACTCATTAACAATTACTATGAAGTAAAACCAAGACTGTCTTTTTAAAGAAGATTCAAAATTTATTAGCTTGACTATTCGCAGAATAATCGAGCAAATGCAGTCACCCATTTGTCGGCGTCCCTGTGTTTAAGTTTTTGCATGTAAGCTGGTATCTCCATAACTACTGAAGGGAATAGATTAAAACTTCACACACTTGTTCTCTGTTATGGCACAAGTCCCATAACTCTGATTTGCTTTTTTGCATAATTATGCCACTTTTTCGACTTAGAAATTCTTGGTTAAGTTTTTGCATTTAAGCTGATATCTCCATAACTACTGAAGGGAATGGATTGAAACTTCACACACTTGTTCTCTGTGATTATCTAACATGACTGGCACAAGTCCCATAACTCTGATGTGCTTTTTTGCATAATTATGCCCCTTTTTCGACTTAGAAAATCTTGGTTAAGTTTTTGCGTGTAAGCTGATATCTCCATAATTACTGAAGGGAATGGATTGAAACTGCACACGCTTGTTCTCTGTGATTATCTTACATGACTGGCACAAGTCCCATAACTCTGATTTGCTTTTTTGCATAATTATGCCCCTTTTTCGACTTAGAAATTCTAGGTTAAGTTTTTGCGTGTAAGCTGGTATCTCCATAACTACTGAAGGGAATGGATTGAAACTTCACACCCTTGTTCTCTGTGATTATCTAACATGATTGGAATAAGTCCCATAACTCTGATTGCTTTTTTGCATAATATGCTCCTTTTTCGACTTACAAATTCTTGTTTAAGTTTTTGCGTGTAAGCAAGTATCTCCATAACTACTGAAGGGAATGGATTGAAACTTCACACACTAGTTCTCTGTGATTATCTAACATGATTGGCACAAGTCCCATAACTCTGATTTGCTTTTTTCTATAATTATGCCCCTTTTTCGACTTAGAAATTCTAGGTAAAGTTTTTGCTTGTAAGCTGATATCCATAACTACTGAAGGGTTTGTGCCTTTTTTGGAACAATTTTATGCATTCATAATAATAAAGCAGAGATTAACTCCATAAAACATCGTAATAACAAGCCTTTGTACCTTTTCGGATAATTTTATGTATTCATATAGTTTAGCATTATTATTCTCAATGAAACACCCTAGTGACAACTTTTCGAATAGTCGAGCGTTACTGTCCTCCGACAGTTCTTGTTTTTTGTACTCCTCAAATTTGATTTGCAAGTACATGATTTTTTTCTTACTTAAAATTTCTTGTTGCACCTGTCTTTATTGACTGATGTCGCATATCCTAGCTATTTAATACTGGTATGTTGGTAACTTCTTTGGTCAGTTTGAATGAAAATAGATTTTCCTACTTTTCCTTATAGCAAGGCCATTTAGATAGCATTGTTGCAGCAGCAATGGGAAGAATCCATTGGTGTTACCAATATTCTTGTTACTTCCCCTATAACTGAAGTGAAGGGGCAGAGGATGGTTGCATATAAATTTCCTCTTGACTGCCAATTCGCTGGAATGTAGGCACATTTGTGTCCTATGCACATGTTTCTAACTTTGGACAGATTTTCCTTTCTAAACATACCTGAAATGATGAAAGTATAGTTTTGACGATGGTCCTTGTTTCTATGATGGTTGGCATTGAGTGCATTGACTTGCATTAAACATAACTTGTTTATTGTGTGTGTGTGTGTGTTGGGGGGAGGATTTTACGGAAGTGTTAAAGAAAGTTGAAGTTACATATGTACATTTGAAGATTTATGAATTAATATAACTTAATTCATTTTAAGTACTTGTGAAATTTTGGATATCTACCTTGGTACTAGCTTATATCATGGACCAGCATTCAAGTTTGGTTTAAGATGCGAAAAATAGTATGTTTGTAAATTACCCATCTGAAAGCAAAAGTATTAAAACATTGATTTTGTAACATTATTACAGTTAATCCTACAGTCTACAGAATATATGAAGAAAATGCAACTGAAAGAAGCTGAGGTAAGATATAATTATAAATATTATGATATATACATATACTTAAGAAGGATCAATATTGATCCTTTATCCCCATGAAATTGTTTTAATGAATAATGTACGGAATGTATACCGTGGGTAACCGACGATGGTCCAGTTTTAAATTTAGATGTTTGTCATTTGTTAAATTTAGGGATTTTACAATGAAAATGTTTGGGTAGCCATCTGTTCAGAGCTGGGTAAGAAGGCATGGTTGTGCTGGGTAATACAGGCATTTCATTAATACATTTAGTGCTCAAACGATCAAGTGATTAATGTGCCAGCCTCTTAACCCAGGGATCATGCATGAGCCATACTGGTGTCAAAACAAAACAATGATGTTTACTTGAGGAAGCCTGTTGTAAAAGAACTGTTTCAAAATCCCGTTGAAATAAATATATATATACATTAATCAGTTGATCAATAAATGGTTAGACTTGTAACTCTCAATGATGCAGCACAACTTGTGTCTTAATGCAGTGATTTAATAAAGTTTAGAATAGATATACCAGTTCTCATACTGCGATACAAAAATACAATGATTAGCATTTTCAAAAGATAGTGTAATATTGAAATCTTTCTCTGATAATTTTCTATGGTTAGAAATGTAAAAGAAAAGTTACTTTTAATGTTGCTATCACAGCCGCCCTTTGATCCTGTTTGTCTCTCCATTATTTCTCATTCTCTACAGTATATATCTGTCTCTTATTTTTTACTTTAAATGAGAGATATATAAAGGCCTGCTTACAGGGTATAAAAACTATATCTATAAATGATAATGTTCAATAAAAATTTAAAGCAATGAAGTCGTATTGTTTCCATATTTTTATGGTCAATTCCCAAATGAGAGATAAAGTCTTACGTACAGGGTATAAAAACTATATCTAATGAATTTTTTTATCAATTTTATAGACACTAAAATCCAGTTGTTTCCATATTCTTAAGGTCAATTCTCGAAAGAGTTCTTACAAAGAATATTTCTGCTTATTTAACACACATGAATGTTGTATGCAAACAGAATAATATATTCTGATTTAACTGCTCAGTAATGATTTTGTGCATTCACTGAGGGGAATATTGATATACAAGCAATTTTCCTTCATTCAGTTATTTTGGAAGAATTTGGTGTTTTTTTAAATTCAAACAATAAGATTTTCAAGACTACCCAAATTTTATTATGGACAGGTCTTGAAATGGAAGCTGGACAAGTCCATTTTAAAAATTTAGCAGGTTGTTGGTTAACTATATAGTCTTACAGCCAGTTCCTTGTAAATATCTAAACAAATACATCTAGGTTAGTATGACAATATCTAGCTGTATTCCTTATACATAAAGTAATTTAAATTCCATACAACAGACCTACAATTATTTTCCCATTTCTGTTTGTTAGTTTAGGAAGATGTCTGTGTGTTTAAATAGGGGAGAAAATAGCAAGCTATTCTTACTGTGAATTAATAACCGACAGCCATAAATTCTGTTGTTTACATGAAAATAAAGAGAAATAACCAACCCCTGTGGGAACTGAATTTTCAGAAAATTGATAAAATGAAGAAATTGTCTTGGAAACGGCTTACAGTAATAAATATACTTCAGAATGGAAGACCGTAAGTAGATAAGAAAAATAAATGAAGACCAAAACATTATCTTTTATTGTTGTCTAGGTAATGAATATTGACTTTTTGTCCATGGCTTTTATTTTTCTGTTGGATTGAACGTGATCATGGTTATTTGATTATTAGATTATTTACTTGAAAATAGATGACAGAGATTTTGTTTCACGGAGAATTATTAAATTAAAGAAAGGATGGGCATTCCCCCCTGGTTAAATGTCAATTTATCAGTTTCTTAGGATTTTTTTATGTGTAAACTAAGAGAAATATCAATAAAAGGCAGACAATTATACTTGTGATTAAATAGCATGATTTTGAGATATTGCTAGATGGAAATTGCTGTAAAATGTGGAATAGATGGCCATTTTAATATGGCTTTTTTGTTAAATAAAAAATAATCCTGATTAAGAAGTATTTTTTTGAGCCACATTTGTAATGATTTTCTGATTTCCTTGAATTATAAAAGACTAGCATAATATGGAGAAGTACTGTTGTAATTAAATTAAGATTTTTGAAAACAAATTGATAAAAAAAAAATAGCAAATTGCTAAAATGGCAAATGACAGGATGATCCCAAAAAAGTGAAAATGAAATCTTTTGAAGTTTGGCATTGGAGTGCAAATAAAAAACCACTAAAGCTTTTGTTTAATAATAATCTGGCAGAATTGCACTCAAGCGCTTTTTAAAAAATTTTGATAAAGAAAAAATAAAGGATATTGATATTGGTTAATCATTTTATGAAAGTCTTTCAAAAACCAAAAACTTAATTTAGAATTTTCAATGATATTAAGGCTTTCTAAGGTCCAGTTCCTTAAAAATTGTGAAAGATATCCACTTCAAATTTGCCATTTATGTTTGCCATCACATTGGTGAGTATTAGTGAGTATTGAAAAGTCTTCAGTAGTATAAGATCTTATAAAATTAGACATTTTTCTTCCTAGATTCAGCACCTAACTTTTGTCAAATATTTTTTCCAGTTAAATATGTACAAGGAAAGATATGAAGAATTCCAGTCAACAATCAAGAAGAGTGAAGAAATGTTTTCAAAGTTCAAGGTTGAAATGGATAAGGTATTATATATATACATGTACTTATTAAGCTTTTTACTGACAAAAAATAAGATTATTTTCTCTTAGTTATTTAAGTATGAAAAAGTCATTCAGCTTGTTTCATACAACTAGACAAGTTGTATTATAAATAGTTTTTTTTAATTAACAATTTTCATGAAAATAATAATAATAATTCCATTGTAGTTATTGGCAATTTCTGTGTACATGTACTTTCATGTCATTCACCTTCATTTGCAAATGACTAATTTGAAAAAGAAAATTGTTTGGTACATGTGAGGAAGCTATCCAGCTAGTTTACAGGACCTCGATGGTTATACTCAGGTGCTTGTTCATGCCTGAAATAATGCATTGAGAAGCACCTGAGGTCTTCTTCCCACTAATAAAGCTGGAAATTTGCCATATGACTTGTACTATATTGGTGCAACATAAAACCCAACTATAAAAAGAAAATGTTCAGTTTTCGGAATTCAGAGGTTCTGGTATTTAGAGGATGTTTTTCGATTAACTTATAAGGAAAAAAATATGGGACTTTAAAAATTGTCTGGTTATCAGAGGATTCCGGTTTTCAGAGTTTTACTGTATTTTACTGAGTGAATACTAGAAGCCTTATTTTCATGAGTAGCATGAGCTCTTTTGAAATCAAAGACAGTGTTCAAGGTTGAAATCTGATTTGAGCCGCGTCACAACAAAACCAACATAATGGGTTTGCGACCAGCATGGATCCAGACCAGCCTGCGCATCCGCGCAGTCTGATCAGGATCCATGCTGTTCGCTATCAGTTTCTCTACTTGTAATAGAGTTGGTAAGCGAACAGCATGGATCCTGATCAGACTGCCCGGATGCGCAGGCTGGTCTGGATCCATGCTGGTCGCAAACGCATTATGTTGGTTTTGTCATGATGCGGCTCATTTGATCTTCCTTGTTAGATTAACAAATTTTCAATTTATTACATCCTATATTGATGGTTTATGCTTGAACTATAATATCGTGGCACCTCATTTATCGACGTATTTCAATTATTTTGTAATGTTCGTTCATTTGTACACTGATCTTGGCATCATTGACTGAATTCAGTATTTGTCTGCTTCACACAAAGTTTACCATTGAACCTTATTACAGACATTGTTAAAATGATAAATATGTTGATAATATGGTGTATCAGACTAAATATTTATTACATGGTGTCATCAGATCACAACTTAAAATATTTATATTTCTAGATGACAAAACGTTGTAAAAAGATGGAGAAGGATGGAGCTCAATGGAAGGGCAAATGGGAAAATGCTAACAGAGCACTTCTAGAAATGGCTGAAGAGGTACTTCATTTATTGTGTCGCCTCTACGGAGTAGTGGCGACATATAGGGATCATTTCTCCGTGGTCTGTCTGTCCGTCTGTCTGTCTGTCCGTCCGTCCGTCACAAAAGCTTGTCCGGACTACTCCTCATAAACTACTGGTGCAATTTCATCCAAACTTTACAGGAATGATCAGTACCAAGTCTAGTTGTGCATATTGTCAGCATTTCCGGTTCAATGATTTTTGTCAGAGTTATGGCCCTTTAATAATTTTTAATTTTAAAGTTTGTCCGGACTACTTCTTTTATACCACTAATGCAATTTCAATGAAACTTTACAGGATTGATCTGTAGCTCAAGTCCTTGCCCATATTGCACGGGTTTTTCGGTTGAATGATTTTTGGCCGAGTTATGGCCCTTTGATAAAAAGGTGTTTTTTTCTGTGTGTTGCCAGATACACAAAAGCTTGTCCGGACTACTCCTCATAAACTACTGGTGCAATTTCATCCAAACTTTACAGGAATGATTGGTACCAAGTCTAGTTGTGCATATTGTCAGCATTTTCCGGTTCAATGATTTTTGTCAGAGTTATGGCCCTTTAATAATTTTTATTTTTAAAGATTGTCCGTACTACTTCTCTTATACCACTAATGCAATTTCAATGAAACTTTACAGGATTGATCTTAAGCTCAAGTCCTTGCCCATATTGCATGGGTTTTCCGGTTGAATGATTTTTGGTTGAGTTATGGCCCTTTGATAAAAAGGTGTTTTTTTCTGTGTGTTGCCAGATACGCAAAAGCTTGTCCGGACTACTCATAAACTACTGGTGCAATTTTATCCAAACTTTACAGGAATGATCAGTACCAAGTCTAGTTGTGCACTGTCTGTCCGCCTGTCACAAAATTTGTCCCAACATGAAATTGGCCATCATGAGGCGACACATGTGATCACTGATTGCTCTTGTTCTACAAGAAATATATAGGACCATTCCGGTGTTTAGCAATAAAAAATTAAGCCCCACCTTTTCTATCATTGCTAAGTCAAGTGCTAACAAACTATATCAATACAAAACCATGTTGGTTTTTTGTGTATCCCTGTGTAGCAATTGAATAGCCACTCAGGCAATTTCATAAATGCATAAATCTATAAACATTAGAAAAGTCTATTATCATAGCATGCCTTTGAAGAAAAACAGCCATGTAGCCTGTTTGTTACTTGTATGTCCGAGTGGTTAAGGTCGTTGATTTCTAACCACTTGCCTCGCACCGCTGTAGGTTTGATCCCCGCAGTGTACTTGAATTCTTTCACGTGAAAAAGTTATCCAGCTAGCTAATCGAATGTTGGTGGTTCTACTCACGTCCCTGTTCTAACTGATCCAGCTTTAAAAGAGCCGCGCCAATATAATGGGTTTGCGACCAGCATGGATCCAGACCAGCCTGCGCATCTGTGCAGTCTGATCAGGATCCATGCTGTTCGCTTACAAACCCTATTACATGTAGAGAAACTGATAGCGAACAGCATGGATTCTGATCAGACTGCGCGAAAGCGCAGGCTGGTCTGGATTCATGCTGGTCGCAAACGCACTGTGTTGGTTTTGTCGTGACGCGGCTCAAAATCATTCCATAATAATCATTGAAAGTCCAGTTGCCTGTGTCAGATTTATTGTATTTGATTGAGAATAAGATATGAATAGCATAAATAAAATAACAAGATTGTTTCATAATCATGATCAGATATTAGCAAATTGATTGCTAAATTCCATTAACCCAATCAAATAAAAGATAAAGTTATGATGTTCTGGCTCATAAAAAAACCTGAAAAGTAAATAAAAAAAATCCTGAAAAGTAATAAAAAAGAATTGTTTGATGGAATGAAAAATTTTATTCAGGAAAAATATCATTCTTTATTGTGTGACTTTGTTTGAAACGATGTGTACATTATGTGGACATTTCAGAATTGTTAATAAAATTATAGAATGTTTTTGCCTGTTTGTGTATAAAATAATGCACCAATGCCAAGACCCGTTAGTCTAGTCTAAACTTAGTACAATTTGACTGGATTATATCCCTTTATGAACATAGAAAATGTCTTGGTAGGGTTTTTCATGCCCACTTTATTTTCAGGACCACTTAAAAAGTTTCCACTTGAATCTGCACACGTATCTCCTGAATAATAATTGTTGGGTCATGTTCCATAATATGTATAATGTATAGAGGATATTGAATGAGTGTAGTTCAATACTGAATTTATTGAATGAGTTTAATTTATTAAGCGAGCCTTTAAATTTTATGCAACAAATTCAGTAAAGGACCTACAAAATAAAATATTTTATTTATCGCATACATGTACGGTACACAAAATAAAGACTGTTTTAAGTGAAAAAGAATCACTTTGTCATTGAGCCGCCTATAGTGTAACGGTAACATTTAGTGCGTCTTTACACAATGTTTGTATATCACAAATGACTTAATGTCAAAATATATGCACATCCTTGCAATACCATTTTTACGGAGTCGCATGTGATAAAAAGAAATATGTAATGGTTAAATAACATTGAAAACAAGCAAAGCCATGTTTCAAGACTCGCTAAATTGATTAGAGAAGATTGTTATATTACAACATGATGCTTTTTTGTGTTACAGAAAACAAAGTATGACAAAGAAAGAGGTCTATTGATGACAAAGATTGGTAAATTAGAGTCATTATGTCGAGCCATGCAGGCAGAGAGACAGGCTAGGAAAATGTTAGAAACAGAAAAAATAGGTTGGTGCTCTTTCAGTTTAGATGTTTGAGTCAAAAGCCTTTAAACACTTAATTCTTAACCTGCAGGCGATAACAGATTCTACCCATGCATCTTACATGTGAATAAATTTTACCAGCCAGCAATGGAAGTTTAGTGGTTCTACTACGCTGCCTGTTTTTGCTTTTCACACGAAAGACTTAGTATTACCGTAATACTAAAAAAATCAATTATGTATATGATACATTAAAATATTTCAATTTAGATGTAAATGATAGATGCATGTTACCATATGCAGGAACTAGAAGGTACAAGCCTTTTCCACATCTATAGGGCCAGGCCCAGCATGCACATTTTGTTTAGTCTGACCAGGCCCTATCCTGTTGGCTGACCAACTAAAGTTTTTCTTCTTGATATAGTAATGGACAAGTCCAATTAAGAAATTCAACAAGTTAAGGATTTATGTTGGTTTTCTTTTAATTAATTTAAAAGATGCTAGTCTATCATTATTTACCATGTTTATCTTTTATTTTACAGCAGTTACTTCGGACATGGAAAAACTTGGTTTAGATAGTCCTGACGACGATTTAGAGTCCTCACTTCCCCCATTACCCTCAGATCCCTTCCCATTCAGAACAAGTCCTGTAAACACAGGTTCGAGCTCTGGGCCGGCATCAGAGGAGAGAGTGGCGGACTCTACGACCGGGGAGAATGAGGCGGGTGATGATGCCGGAGAGAGTTGTGAAGGAGACTCAGATAATTCTTGTAAGTTTTAATCATTGTTGTTGATATAATTTGTTTAAATTTGAAAATTGATCTCCGGTCATTGATTCTTATGGTGATTTGTCTCTCACTGCTGATCCAGTTTAGCGCGGAGGAAGGTAGTCTAGTACTGGTGTAACTCTCCAGGATTGATGGTTAGGAAACTACCCGCCTATATGACTGAAATACTGTTGGAAAAAGGCGTAAAATAAAACAAACAAACAAACAAAAACGCTGATTCATAAATCATGTGGGATAAGTAGTTGGTCAGTTGGGGAGATGTTGGTAAATACAGGTAAGTAATACAGGAAAGCTATTTTTATATAGATCGACCGCTGAGATATTAACAATGATTTGTTTAATTGGCACAAAAAGCAGGAAAACAAACAAACAAATGCTTTGAAGATGATATTATTTCACTGATTTATTAGAAGTTAACGTTATTCACGAACATTTAATTTTCTGTTTAAAGGATTTCCTTGCAGTAAATTTTGACCATGTGAAGTTTAAAGTTTCTTACATTAGATGAGAAATTAATTCATCAAATCAGTATAGATATATTATGAATTTGCCTACTTTAAGAGGACAACAGGGTATTCTATCAGAAGTTGGGCTAATGTTTCATTAATTCATATTGTCTCGGAGAAAATAACTTTGGACATCAAGATTTTACGAAATACCTCTGAATTTTTTGCAATGAACCTTTAAATGCTTGTCTGTACTGGTTATAAAATTGGTAGCAAGGGCAATAACTGTGCTATGCATGTGATAATATTTAAATAAAGTCTTTACAGGGCCTGTACATTATTTTTGAACATGACAAAAGTAAGATGTGTTTGTTTTGGGGTTTTTTCAGGTGCCTCAGAAAAAACAGGAGTTACTGTAATCCAGCAGACACCAGCTGACCAATCAGAAGACAGTTCTGGTGCAAATACCCAGTCAGAAAGTCAGATACAAGAAGTGACAAGTTCTGACCAATCAGGAACAAGTTTACAGAATGATCAAATGCAGAATGACCAATCAAATGCGGCGTCTTGATTCTGAATATCAATTGTATGAAAAGAATTAATGCAAATTCATCCGACAACAGTTTAAACATGATGAAAAAGTTTGGATTTGATCATTATACATACACAAGTCTAGAAAGACTTCAGTTAAAACTTTGCATAGAAAGGAATCAATTTTTTTCATTCCTTTTTACAAAGATACAATTGGTCACTCTTTTGAACTTGTCATTAAATTCTGTTGTATAATTTTATCCAAATAATTTATTTTTAGAAATGTAAAGCAAAAGCGTTTTCGTGTAATTTTTTCAGGAGTATAAAAAAAGGTAATCATTGTGTTTTTTAAAAAAAAAAAAAATGCTTTTGCGATACATTTATATCATTATGTGTTACGAGTGGCTTGCACTGTATAGAAATATATTGCAAAGGTCAACAGAATGGCACAATAAAGGTCACTCCTGAAAGGTCATGGTGATTATTAATATGTAAATACAAAAAAAGTATAATAGCTAGAAGCTGCTTTTTATGATACTATTCACTCTGATATTGAGTCAGAATTTAGAAAAAATATCTAGAATCCTTTATTTATGCTGTTGATTTATTTAAAGCTTCTTTTTTTCAAATAAGAAAATATATCCAGAGGGGCAATAATAAAAAAGCGGACTATGTCCAAAATCATAGAGGAATTATTTATAAACCTGTGCTCTGACATTTGTGTTATTTACAAGTGTACAGGGCAAATACCTGCATATCATTATACATGTTATGAAAGGTTTTGTGGTGTTTGTTTTTTTTTTTTGTTGTTGTTTTTTTTGGTTTTGTGAGAGCAATGTTCCTTGCGTTTTAAAAATACAAATATATAGAAACTGGAAAAAATTAGTTGTACACTATAGTTGTTGGAGGAAAATATATTTGGTGTAAATAAGCTTGAATACTTAATATAGAAATGCAATAAACAAACAAACAAGACAGGCGTTTGGAAAAGCAAGATCTTGGCATTGAGCCAAAATGTGTCTTGTTGCGTGGGTTTTTTTTTACAGTTATTAAAGCAGCTTACTTCTAGATTTCATGCTAATTTTGTATGTGAAAATTTATAAAGGGTTTTAAAATTTAAAAGTTTTGTCAAGATAGTTAGTATACAGTATTTGATTGTTTTTTTTACATCGAAGTACATGTATGCCAAAAATATCCTTTACTGGGTTAGTAAATGGGTAGAAATAGGGTTATAATATAGTAAATTCAGTCTATTTTTTTGCAACTAGTATGTAAAGTGTTATATACTTATACTGCTTAACCTACCTGAATTTGTGTAATAGTCTTACCTCGCTTTGAATTTGGAACATTACATTCAATGTTTAAGGGACATTGATATCAAAATGCAAAAGCGAGCAACTAGCAGTATTGGGCTTGGTCAGACTGCACGGATGTGCAGGCTGGCCTGGCTCTATACTGGCGACAAATGCTAATCACTTTAGTTCCAGCAGGGTAAGAGTAAACTCTAGAGTACATTTTTTCTAAAATTTGATTTTCTTAATATTTTAAGACAAATCTTGAGGCATGTAGCTTTAAATAGCTTAGATGACTTCATAAGACCCCCAGGATTAAGTTGCCAAACAAGTTTTGAAAGTAAATATGTTATTTCTCCACTTTAATAAAATCTTAATTGAAACCTGACCTGTTTTTTTTTTATCTGCAAAAGTTTTTATGTCGGAAATGTCGGAAAACTTGTACAGAAGTAAACAAATTTTAAAATATTTTCACCTCCGCACGTATTTTTGTTATCGTAAAACAACAGATAATTTTGATATATGTATGTTGTTTTTTTAAAAGAAGATTTGAAGGTTTCAGGGGTTGCTAGGAATTGATAATTAGCCACAATTTTGTATTTTTTTGTTTTGATTTTAGAAGTATTAGTAAAATAATGGGGGGAGGCCTTCATGTGAAACATGGTGGTCCATCCTTCTAGGTATGAACAAAGAATTTAAAATAGCTATTTTTTTGTTTTCTTTTCCATGTATACATGCTTACACGTTGAAAATGTTGGTCATCTCAATGATTCATTTTGCCATGTCAAATTTTTTTTCACAAAAAATAAAGGTTTGTTTAATTTCAATTCTGTTGTTTTTCTAGATATCCGTGAAAGAATGATGTTATACTATATAAAGTGAAATTGATAAGTGAAGAATACTTTTGTGGGTAGACTTACTTATCTTCCCAGATACTGATGACTTACATAGTTCTGTTATAGTCTGGTTTAGCTGTTATACTTACCAGTCTTTGTAACACCTCAGATTAGCCAGAATCATCTTTTCTGTTTTGGTGTCATATTATCTAAATTGTGTTGGTGCGCCGTAAAACCAAATAAAACACCTCGCCAGATAGCTTACAGACAATTTGTGGTTCTACAAGGAAGCGTTTCAACCCGATCCAAACAATAGAAAAATGAATTGAGATACATGTAGTCCTTCCTTAAAATCTGAATTGTCCATTGTTATTTTAAAGCATTTCTTTTACAAGACAGACAAGTTAAACAGCTGATGGTATTGAGTGTAACCGTAGTGGACACTGTATCAGTCTGTCTGTGTTGTATGTATGTACGCCACGGCGTGTATGTGCGCACATAGAGCATGTGTGTGTGTGGTTTGTTCATATTCACCACCGGCATAACACATGGGCGACGATAGATTTGCACGCTGGTCTGAACTTGTCCTAAGTAAATGCTAAGTCCTAAGACATAAGACCAACATGAGGGTTCAACATGAATGTACTTATGGCTTTTCAAAAACAGTCTTTACTTTGAGTGATATATTTTGGAACACTTCACTCTCCCGAGAAAAGTTTCTAATAAATCCCGCAATAAGTCAATGTCTATCTGCACTGCTTTTTGAGCATGAAGGATGTAACATAAGACTGCTATTAACATTTTCTTTGAAATGCAAAATTGTTCCAGGTTAGGTTTTCAGCAGACTTTGTATAAATTATATAGCATGAACTAAAATAAAGTCTGAATGAAATAGTGGTCTATATCGGGAAATTTGATCAGCCAAAAAAAAAAACTGGCAGTGTGCAAAAACTTGCAACTTTTAGAATATATAAATCTTATAAAATATATTTTCATATTCCAATTTCATTTTTGGTATCAGATATATCTGTTATTCTGTATATTCCCAGACGTGACTTTTTCGTCTGCCTTTTTCATATTTTCGTCTGCATCTTTTGACTTTTTCGTCTGCCTTTTCTGTATAAATGGCACCTTGAGGTAAAAACCATTTTCATAAAATGAGTTTTCTTATAGAATGATGTATATTTAAACTATATATTATTGACAAACATGGGGTTTTTTAATTAACATCATTACTGTTTTCTTTGCGAACTTCCTGCCAATTTGTAAACAACGTTTCATCCATGGTATAATTGTATATTGCTAACACGAATAGCTTGTTCTTGAGACTTTTGTTGTTGTTGTTTGTCCATTTCTCCTTACAAAGTGGTTAATAACAAAGTACGAAACACGCGTCTCGTGACATAGACTGGAGACTGCATGCTTCACATACCCTATGTTTGTATAATGAACAATTTTGCTGACTTTGTCATTTTTACTTGTTCGCCCTTGCATAACGAAAATGTAATGCATAATTTATTATGAACTATATCCAAAATAGAATATTGAAGTGTCAATGTTACTTCACAGTGTGTGAGCAGACGACAAGACTTTTAACTATATTGATTTTTCAACATTTGCCGGTTTTTTTTTTACAAAATAACCTTGTAAATATGATAAACATTTGATTTACCGGTGGCAGAAATGTTTTACTCCACGCGTGCTTCTATATATAAAAACAGAATCATCGGTATTGCGTTAAAGGTGCGCAATTAAATTGTTTCAAATTTCATTTTATTGAATTCCGGCAAATGTTTTCATTTCCCTTGGTTTTAAATACATATTAATTTGAAAAAGTAATTATGTCGTATTGTTGACCGGGGAGGATTTAAGTATCGAACATTTTATTTTAATCATTGTTTAAGCAATAACCTGATTATAACTACGGTGTCCCAAAAAGGCCATCGTGATACACAACTCGTAGCAACGAATACACGAAATTACGATGGTGAAATGACAAAACTACGATGGTGAAAAGTCGAATATATGTTGGTGAAAAGTCGAAATAACGAAATCACGATAGTTTAGAACTCGATAAACCTTCGAAGTTTTCAACATCATTCTTTCGACGTTTCACTATCGTGGTTTCGTTAATTTGAATTTTCACCATCGTATTATGACTTTTCATCACCGTGGTTTCGACTTTTCATCATTGTAGTTACTGTACCTTCGACTTTTAACCGTCTTATCATCTACTTTTCACCGCCATAGTTTCGCCTTCATGCATGTCTAACCTGTGCACATACTCCACATAGATCATAACAACTGATGACGACATAAGTAAATATAAAATACGATGGTGAAAATACGAATAACGAAACCACGGTGGTAAAAAGTCTGAAGTATTGTGGTGAAAATTCGAAATAACCACGATTGTACGATTGTGGCGAAAGCACGAGATTATATTCCGAATTTTAACCATCCGGCATCGTACTTTTGACTTTACTTCAGTGTTACTCTGACTCTTTACCATCGTGGTTTCGTTATTTCGACTTTTCACAATCGAAATAGCATTTTTCATTGTTTCGAGTTATATGCGTGTGTGTGTCGCGATGGCCCTAACGGGACACCGTAAATAACAGCCACCAACGCACTTGGCTAAACAAAACGATAATTGTCACAGGAATAATGAAATACCAAATATTTTGCCATCATCTATTTTATAATAAAAGTGCATGTACGTTCTGAATTGTAATTAAGAGAATATACATTTACGAGTATGTTTATCAGTGTTAAAAAACTAGACGCTGACATTTTTCTAGTGAACCAAAAGATAAATAAATAAAGTTAAATAATTATGCATATCTGATTAGACTAGCAAATACAGTTCTATCATCACGTTCTCCAGCATTACTGCACGTTGACACGTATTCCTAAATGTCAAGAATACTCGAGATAAAAAGAGTTGAGTTGCGAAATTTACAAAAGTGTACTTACATTGGGAAGAATACGAAGTTTTGCCGATGGCACCAGATGTTTTCTTTGACATATTTTTTCAGGTTCATTAACATGTATATGATAATATGGTTGACGAAAGTTCGCAATTATTTAATTGAAAATGTAGTTTATATATAGAATGACAAGCTGTTATTTTGTTCGATGAATCATTTTAATTAAATATACAATATGACACTACCCTTCTGCGTGTCCAGAATTTAAAGTACAAAGTATATAAAGCTATACTTAAGCTATATCTAATGTAATATTTTTTACAAAATTAATTAACAGTGAAATTACATTGTTTTCATAAACTTGTGGTCGATTCTTGAAAGAATGTCTCTATTATTTAACACACATGGGTATGGTACTAAAACATTTCACAGGTTCTTATTGTTTAGCATGCGCCATTCGCTTTAAAGGCACATAATGCCTGAGAAAAAAAATGCTATCATTTTCATTTCACAAAATAATTTAATTGTTGTCAAAGTTTCAAAAAAAAACTCATTAACCATATAGATTAACTATCTTTGCTTCTTTTGCTTTGTTGGCAATTGGTATAATTATAGTGAATCGGTATTTTGTATGGAAGTCAAAGGACGACTTTATTTACATTTTGCTACGTGTATGTGCATTCAGAGATAATTTCCTCAGCAGTTAAACATCTAACATGCTCTAAATCTGTTATTTTTAAACATAATTAAACACATGTTTGACATTTCCAAACAATTTGCTTAATATGGATTTCTGATGCATAATGTGCCTTTAAGGAAATATACTAAAAGCCATTTTGGATTTTCTTTTCTTTTTTTTCAAAATGCTAACAATCATGTTGCAGCTTTTTACTCTTTAAGATAAGTCTTAGTACTTTGACTTAGAAATTATCCATATTTTGACCCGTTTTTATACTGGACCTGAAAAAAATGTAACCAGAACTAGATCGGAGCATGCCGTGAGTTTTCGTCACAGCTGAGTTATCTGGTGGCAAGCCGGTCTAAACTGCTTACTGTTACGTGTCAGTAACCTTTCATTAAAATGTCATTCAACCTGTACATACATGTATCTAAACAAATAAAATAAATCGATCAGCGGTATGTATATTGTAACATACATTCATACATGATGTTTCACAGCGGACGATTTTCTACATCAAGGTCCTCTAACAGTGAGCTGCAACATTTTCAATTGTGTCGTTTCATACCTTTAGGGGTTCCTTAATTTTCTTATTTTAGTGCATATATTGTTTTTGACTGTATCTGCAAGGTCCCATCCGTCAACCCTTGTCAAGATGGTGTACTCCCCATATTGGTTGATGTATGGTTGCCATATGTATAGGTTAGTGTTTAATAATATGTATTAACAAAAATAATTGGTCAAGCCTGCCGCAGGCAGGCGACCAATTATTTTTTGTTAATGCATATTATTAAACATTAACCTATTTAATGATCAACATTATTTTTTTCAACCAAAAACAAGGCATTGCTCTAAATCACTGATAGCTCCGCCTTTTCACTCTACAAGATGTCTACACCTTGTCAAGTTTCTTACATGTCACATTTAGATAAGCTAATTGGCACATTTTTTACTGAAATGTCACAGAATTTATACCGACTATCAATTGTTTCTATAAAATATGTGGAATAAAACAGCCAGGAAAATGATGCAATTAGATAAAAACAATGGAGTTAATAAAATGTGTACATCCTATTAAAATAAATGGAAAATGTGAGAAAAATACATTAGAGATTATGAATTGATACAAATTCGTTATTGGCTTCAAGTTATTCACTAACATTTAAAATCCCTTTGAAAAACAGTTCACTTTTTCATTTTTCTGAGTGTCAATTTAGGTTTACAGGTCCATTTACAATGAGTTTTTTTTTAGCCAAAAAATGTAAACATTGTATTCTTAATGTCAAGGATTGTTAATGCAGTTCATTCCTATCGACTGAATTTGGAAAATATAGAGTTTAAAACAGTCAGCAATTTATAACAGACATTTTTCTTAGAGTTAA